CTTTGAAGAGTTTCGTGAAAAATTGTGTGTGAAGTTGTGTTGAAGAGCAGGAGAGGAGAGAAAGTAGGAAGAATGTTGAAGTAAGCTAGTGCAGTTGCTCGTGTGGTTGCTGGTTACAGTTGCAGTTGATCACTGCTATTGGAGTTGCTGCATTTAGTCTGTTATTTGGTTAGAGTTGTTAGCAGCCATGTAACCGTATGAATGTATGAATGTTATATAATGCATGTAAAGGGTAGTGTTAATCAATGAGAAGGAAAACATTATTTTCTGGTTTTGTAGTTGTTTAGTTTAGTGGCTTAACATTCTCTCAACACAAGGGGAAGACAATTTATCCAAACTTACGCTCACTTCTGGTCACGACAGGTAAATGTTCAAATCTTTAAATTTTCTGGTTTTGTAGTTGTTTAGTTTAGTGGCTTAATATTCTCTCAACACAAGGGGAAGACAATTTATCCAAACTTGCGCTCACTTCTGGTCACGGCAGGTAAATGTTCAAATCTTTAAATTTTGAATAAATGATATGCTTTTTTCAAGCTTTTTGGTTTCTGGGTCTTTACAAATTTATTGGTGAGGGATTTTTTTTCTTTGAATCGGGTATGAAAGAAATCATTTGATTTGTTCGACGAATTGAATGTTATTGGTTTTTGTTTCCGGTGTATTAGTGAAGCTGAGATTTATCTATTTGGTGTTTGTATTACTTCTTAGAAAGTCCCAAGTGAACGAGACCTTATATTTGTGCGGGCTGATGCTGTATTTGACAAAAAGAAGCCAATCAAGTTGGTTTTTCCCATCCCTCTCTGTACTTTGGTCTTAGCTATTGTGATTTCAAAATGTGCCTTTGAAAAGTTAGATGAAGCTGATGTTTGATAAAGCTTGCTTGAGTTAGGCTTATTAAAGACATAGATTATGGTTGTATATTTCGGCTAGAAATTGATCTTAAACCACTTTCTGCATTACCAAAAGGCATAAGGCTAAAGTCATTTTGTCCCCTTTTTTTAGGAGTATTTTGGCCCCAGTGTTTCACTTAAGGGCAAAAAGGCCGCTCACGTTTGACTAAATAGTCACTTTAACTCTTGTTCTTTCTTTTAGGAGCATTTTGGCCCCCAAATTTTTATTTTGGAGCAAAAAAGTTTTGGAGCGTTAACTAATTGTTAACTAACGGTTTCCATCCTCGAAGGGGCCTTTTTACCCCAAAATAAAACGTTAGGTTCAAAATGGTCCAAAAAAAAAAAGAATAGGAAAAGAAAAGTAAAGGAACAACTATAACTATTTTTATAACTTTCTAGTTTTGTCTTAATTGTGCAAGTGTTTATGTAATTCACAGAATGGATTTGCAAGGAATATGGATTGCTCCCTTGTGATGTCTGAAAACTTGGAAGGCAACCCTATTGTAACTCTTGAGCTAAAAGATGGTCCTACAGCCGAACTATTTGGGATTTCCGTTTTCAGGCTAGATATAAGGTCAGTTATTGGTTACTTACCTGTATGGTCAGGGCACTGATATTATGTTCATGACAATGGTATTTTCTTTGCTAATTATGTGTTAATTCAATTCAATGGTACCAGACTAGACCAAAGTAGAAATGTTGATTAATCTATGCAATTTTAGTTTGTGTTTGCTAATTAAATAAATTGGTAGTTCATTTCTTTTTGTTTCTTCAGGTTATTCTAAATACGAAGAGCATTTCCACTGATCTAACTGTTACAAGCATAGACAAGAAGCCATTTACTTTCAGCACTACCTTGTATTCATATTTTCGTGCAAGTGCCTATAATTTTGTGGTTGATAGATGCAATTCCTCTAGCATGTTCAAATTGAGCTTTTCTTTGTATAGGAATGGAGATTTGTTTTTTGTGACAATTATAGAAAAAGGGAACTTAATGTGCCGGAAAGAATAAGAAAGAAGAAATGAACTTTGAAATACTTGCAAGGGAAATGCAAACAATATACACATATATACATGTATATTATGTCTTATGTATTATAATCGAATTGCTCGGCCTTTGAACTTGAAGAAGCTGCTTGGTCGTTGATTTTAAGAAATTTTGATGCAGGCATCTATAACAGGGGTATCCGTGAAAGGTTGCAAAACTCTGAATAAAGATCCGGATCCTAAGAATGCAATTGAGGGTAGGGAGGAAAGGTCAGTGCATTGTTCATAGAACATATAATCGGAGGCTAACTTGCGTACACATATTTGAACTATAAATGTTGTAGAGAGTGCTTATTAAGATCTCTGGAGGACCATCCTGTTCTTTAATAATGACTAGGTTTCTAAATGAAACTCTAAATTTATCCAAACCAAAAAAAATGTTATTGCATTGATTTAAACTAGTTCTGGATATTACTTTTTAATGTTGAAGGATTAATAATGTAACTCAAATATTAACAACTCAGGGATACCGTCACTTTTCCTGGCTTTGTAGACTGCATTTACCTTGATGCTCCTAATGAAGTGCACCTCGATAATGGCTTAGGTGATGTAATATCCGTCAAGAATACAAAGTACGCAAGTTCGAGTCTCGTATCTCTGTTTTTATTTGATTCGAGTGGAAATTTCCCTCACCCTTTTGCTTTGCCCTTGCAGTTGGTCAGATGCTGTTTTGTGGAACCCACATCTGCAAATGGAAGCATGTAACAAAGATTTTGTTTGTGTTGAAAATGCAAAGCTACTTGGATACTTTCTCCAATAGTATCTTGATAAACTTAGTGGATGACGGGTTATATTCATAATGCAATTTTTCTTTGCTCAAAATATCCGTGTGCGACATGTATTCGGACACGGGTGTGGGAATATGACCTTCCAAACTGATAGCTTTTGTTTTGTTTTTTTTTTTTTTATGTTTTGTTGAAAATATGGTCACTCAGATTGGGACTGTCAGGCTAGAGCCCGGAAAATCTTGGATAGCCAAACATCTCAGCATTGGCTGAAGTACTCAAGTATAGACTGTACAGTTTCCATAGTTTATGGAATAAGTGCAGTCCCTTTAATTTTTTTGGAGGCAAAAGATTTTGGTTATTGTACCCTTTGTTGGATTGAAAGGTGCTTTGTAATCATTTGAATAAAGCTTTAAAGTCATATACTCGAGCTATTTGATAAAGGTTTAAGAGTTGGATAGTATTTCCGTTTTAACGATGTTTTATTAATTACAAAGATATTATATTATAAGATAAATGTCGAGATTTGAATTTACACATTAAATAACGTAAGCATTCTTGATCACCAGAGGCCAACGAGTGTTGGTACAAATGGTTGGGATTCATAAATTTAAACTTGTAAGGTCAAATTTAAATTATACAACAATCACTCATCGGTTTATAAATCTTGTTATGGGCACTCATTGTTGAGTGTAATTAGACTGTTATAAGATATTAATGGTTTTTTGAGTTATGGGCACTCATTGTTGAGTGTAATTAGACTGTTATAGAATTTTTGAATGATCAGTTTATGAATCTTGTTTGATAAATCTGGACTAATCCGGGTCGCACACCTGGTTTTGGTGAGTGAGTCTTTCAATGGGGATTTTCTTCGTACACAAGGATGCGAACCTGGGACTTTGTTTAAGCGATATCAAACAGCTTAGCACTTGAACCGTGCCTTGAATTTTAAATTTATTAAATTTTAAGTTTGAGATTGGGAGTGTATTAACCATATATATGTTTCGTTCGTTGATTTTTATATATTTATATTTATATTATTATTTAAAATCTAACTAAATTTGTGTCGTGATTAATCAATTCTCAATTCAATTAAAAATATTTTATAATTAAGGAAAATTTTACAACGCTCGATGAGAGGCGATGAGTGCCAATAACGATGAACACCTAAATTAAATTGTAAAATGATAAAATTATAAGGTACTAAAAGTATAATTATATTTTAGTTAAAAATGTAATTGTAATTTTAAATAAATTTTAATTTTAATTAAACTGTTTTTTAATATTTGTTTTTTATAATTAGTTCAAATAATAACCCCAATTTAGAAATTTCTAAGTTTTTTAAAAAGCTATGTTTCTCTCCTCCTCATCGCTACTACCGTCGCCGCCATCGCCGCCGATAATTTTGTCTTCCTCCTTCAATTGAGTCGTTACAGTCACCATTGTTTACGCAAACAACATGTTATGGTAAACTAGATTACTTTTACTTTAATTTTTTTTTTGGTTCAAGCCGTCAGTGAAGGGTGGTGGCAGACCGGCTGCCCGCGCTTTCACCGACAGTGGTTGTGGTTACCGGCATGAGACTTCCCCCTCTAATTCTTTTTTCCCAATCTCATATTTCCTAAGCCCTACCCTAACCCTAACCCTAATTTTAAAATTCCTCCATTTTTATAACCCGAATTCCTTAATTGATTTCCAAAGTTCCTTTTATAAAACCCCAATTAGAACAATTACTCCTCAATTTTCCCGTTGAAACTGGTTTATTTCAATCCAATTTCCGATTCTCAATTTGCAATTCGTTCAGGGTGTACCGTTACACTGACAATGTTTACTGGTACTCGGGCAACCGTGTATCGATGCCTGGTATGCATCAGTACCTTAATTGCAAGCTGTGTATTTGAATTAGCCTTTCTGTACCGATACACTCATGCAGTGTATCAGTACGGTATTTTTGATTTAACCTTATAATTTATTTTTGGGTAAACTATGCCAATAGTCCATATTATTTCCGGTTTGATCGAATTTGGTAATCAATTTTTTAATTAAGTGTGCTTGATCCCTAATATTATCGATTTGTCGGATTTAAATCCAGCAACCATTAATGTCGGTTAATCCATTAATAGAAATATTATGTGGTAGTTAAAAAATTAAAAAAAAAACACTGCATCCACGTGTTCATTAACACTTCTTTTTTCTTCACTCTTTTCCTCACTTGTTTCCCCATTTCTCCTTCCATTAACTCCTTTACTGTCTGTCGCAATCGCAGTGGCAGCAAGCACCAGTACGCGGCCTAAGCTTATCAAAGCAAAGGAGGCAAAACACAAGAAGAGAAGATAGTCTCTAGGTCAGGGATCTACGCCAAGAGGGTGGTGGTGGATGCAAGGCACCACATGCTGGGAAGGCTGGCTTCCATTTTGGCCAAGGAGTTGTTGAACGGCCAGAAAGTGGTCGTCGTTAGATGCGGAGAGATTTTCATGTCTGGTGGTCTGGTCAGGCAGAAGATGAAGTACATAAGGTTCTTGAGGAAACGCATGAACACTAAGCCCTCTCATGGTCCCATCCATTTCCGTGCTCCTTCTAAGATTCTCTGGCGTACCATTCGTAAGATGATTCCTCGCAAGAACAAGCGTGGAGTAGCAGCTCTTGCATGATTGAAGGTGTATGAGGGGGTTCCAGCTCCTTACGATAAGACGAAGAGGATGGTTATTCCTGATGCTCTCAAGGTTTTAAGGCTTCAGAAAGGACACAAGTAGTGTTTGTTGGGCAAACTCTCATCTGAGGTTTGATGGAACCACTATGACATTATCAAGGAGGTCGAGAAGAAAAGGAAGGAAAGAGTTCAAGTCGCATACGACTGAAGGAATCAACTTACTAAACTTAGGGTTAAGGCCGAGAAGGTTACAGAGGAAAAGCTTGGTGACCAGTTGGAAGTCATTGCTCCTATCAAATACTGATTTAAAGTCAGTAGTTTTATTGCCATAATCATTTGAAGTAGATCTTATGCTATATACCTTAGTTTGTTACTGGGGTGTCTTTTACTTCTTTGCTTGATAAACACTTTCTGGTTTTTAGTTCCTTTTTTGGTATTTTATGTTTTCAGGATTTAATCTTGGTCACTACAACTCAAGAGTTTTGAAGAAGAAGAAGAAGAAGAATGGGTTATGGGGAAAGAAGAAGAGTCAAAGTCTGAAGACATGGTTTTTTTATTTTTTATTTTCAACTTAGACTTCTGTTAATGGGTTAACGACTGAAGGACCTGAACCGGATGGACTGATGACGTTAGGGACTAAACACACTTAATTAAAAAATCGGTGACCAAAGTCGATCAGATTGAAAATAAAAGGGACTATTGGCGTGGTTTACCTTTTAACCGTAGATGATGGATCTAAACTTAACGCCCTCAAAACAAGTGATGATGATGGAGGTACATTCATTATAAGTAACTAAATTGTTGATACTACTGATGCATTTGTTTTGTCGGTATATTTTTTTAAGATTATTGTTTTATTTTTTTATGTATTTTATATACATATAGGAAAAAACTGAAGTTGTTCATAAGGAAAATATTAAAACTTATATTTTGAGTGACACTCATTCATTCGGTGCAAAAAATTAAAAAGAAATTTGCTATAATGCATAGTTAATTCAAAATTTTAAAAGGAAAATTTGAAATATTAAATGGTCAATTTGAGAAATTAGTGAGCATATATTAACACCGAGTATTGTAAAAAGTTCAATACAGGATGGTGATTTAGTAAAAGGAAAAGGTATGCGTAATCAATCATTAAAAGAGGATGCTTTAAATAATAGATCAGAAGTGACGAATTTGCATAGCGTTCTATAGATGAGAGTTTTTTTAAAAAAATAAGACATGGAAGAAGGATTAAGTGTCACACCATTGAAGGATCAAACCGGGACTAGTTTTAAAAAACAGAGTTTGTCTCCTTTTATTAATTGTGATTCACTATCAGAACTTTTTGAAAAATCCTCTATGATAAGTGATGCGTACATGTAATATTTGGAGTTTTTAACGCCTAAAGAATACAAAATTTGTACAAATGTTGTTACTTGAAAGAATACATCCAACACTGTTTACATGGCCAAGAGTAATTATTTGGATGTTGGCAATGCTCGTACTGTTTTTCCAAAAAAATGGTTATCTGATTCGGTATTACAGTTTAAATTTTTTATTGTTATTATACATGATAAAAAATATTCATTATTTTGTCTTTTTTAATTCAATTGTTTGTATTGTTTTCAAATATTTAATAGTTTATCAATATGTATGTGTACGATTCACACTTGAGAGAAGCGCCTAAGTGAAAGAAGTTATATCTGCCTCTGTCCTTTCAGATAAAAATTAATTTATGAGATATAAATCGAATAATTTAAAGTTTATGATTTCTTGACACTTATATTTAATGCTTGTCTCAGAGTATCCTTACCGAATATGTCACACATGCTCAAAAGACGAGAAGAAATATTAGGCTTTTCAAATTTCATACCCGCTGGATAGAAGACTTCATGCCTATTGATAGTAGTCATGTAGAACACATATATTTATATTTAAAATTTTTTATTTGCTTGTATGTGGTTACCTGTGCTTTTTACCTCACATAATTTTGCAGGCATATGTGCCTTTACAAGATGAAGCCGACCATCATTGGTTTTTATTAGTTGTTGATGTTGTAGGGGGACATACTTACGTTTTGCACTCTCTTGGCATCAATGAAGTCCGTACAAATATTGCAGAAAATATTGTAAGCTGGTTATGTGAATTAATAGAATTCATGTAGTTTTCAAATATAAATTTATAAATTTTGACTTATTGTAATAGTTGAGTGAAGCTCCGTGTATCTATAAGAGTTATGCTCATTTGGATAGATTATTTGAAAATGTTTCAAAAATTTGAATCCATTTTCTTGGATTACCGAAGCAGCCAAATTCATACGACATTTACATTTAAAATTAAAGTTACTATGTTTTGGACTATGTATTTCTTTGTATTAAATTATTTTATTTCATATTGGATGTAGAGATGATTATGGCATGTACATGTTAAAGTATATAGAAGCCAATAGCAAAGATAATTGGTCGAAGATTAGTTTCACAGTAAAGTATACCCTGTAGTTTTGTTTAACTATTGTGTGATATTGAACTAATGAACATTTAGCAAACAAATGGTATAATCATCAAGGAGAAGTCAGTACAAGCTGTTTACAAGCACAATATTAATACACAACTTTTCTAACTACAAACCGTTAACCCTAAAAAACTATCTAACAACCCTTAACAGACTAACTATTCTTTAACTACTGCTTAGCAGCTTATACACTCAATCACATACACCTCTAATATTCTCCCTGCATCTTCACCTTCCTTCCTTCATCTTGACACAACACACACTTTGTCATGAAATTCTTTAAATGCTCCTTTCGACAAATGCTTGGTAAACCCGTCAGCCACTTGATGTGTAGCTGGAATGTAATTGATACAAAGTTACCCATCTACTACCTTTTCCCTTACAAAATGGACATCCAATTCAAAGTGTTTAGATTATGCATGATATATGGGGTTAGCACTCATATCTACTGCGCTAGTATTGTCACACCAAAAAACTGATTTTCCATATTGCTGAACACCTAGATCAGTTAACAATGTACTAATCCATGTAACCTCAATTACGGCATCAGCAATACTTTTGTATTCAGCTTCCATAGTTGACTTGGACACTGACCTTTACTTCTTCTAGCTCCATGCAACAAGGCATTTACTAATAAAAACACCATATCTTAATATTGACCTGTGATCATCCAAGTTTGCTCCCCAGTCTGGATCCGTAAAAGTTGAAACCAACACCTAGTCTCAGTTGGCGAAAAAAATAGACTGTAATTCACTGTCCCTGCTAGATATCTCATAATCAAATTTACCACAGCAAAATGAGTTACACGTGGTGCATGCATGAATTGAGCAACCTTCCCAACACTCATCAAAAAATTAGGTCGAGTGTGACACAGGTAAAGTAACAAGCCAACAATGCTCCTATATTAACTTGCATCCTTGATAGGATGCATATTAGACATATATTCTATGATATTTTCCTCATATTTGAATAACTAAAATTGCTTAAATCATGGATTTTGATTATATTTCATATTTTGTGGATTAGGTTGAAGATTTGGATAAAACAAGTTCAAAATCTAATGATTAGCATGATATTCACAAAATCCCCAAATTGAGGAAAAATCAAAATTCAAGAAGTTGACAAAACCAGAAGAGGTTTTCGCATAAGGCGTGGGCACGTATTGTTCATCCTGAGCTTTCACAGAAGAAGTCTTCAATTAAGGCGTGGGCATGCCTTACCAGTCAGTACAACCCTAAGTTAGGGTTACGAGTTTACAAGGGAAAAAGAGTTTAATGACAGCTGGAAGACTCCTTTCAATTATTCTTATCTTTAAAAAAGGATGAGGGCATTTAAAACTCCTATTTTTGTGGGATTTTATTTAAGGGAAACTTCCTTATCTAGAGTAGGAAAATCCTTATAAAAGGGGAGCTAGGACATTAGTTTTACATCAAGTTTTTCATTAAGTTTTCTTTAAGTTTTTGTTTTTGTTCTTTCAATTATGAGTGGCTAAATACTTTTGTTCCAACTGGAGGATAATTAAAGTTTTGGTTCTTCAAGGATTGTGAGATCTAAATAATTTTCATTTTTCTTTTACTTCTTTGCTATTTATATATCTTCTGTTTTTATTAAGAATTATTGTCTTGATTGATTGTGCAAAGGGTCCCTTTTTCAATTATCAAGTTGATAAATTGCCATTTAGAACTTTAAATCCGTAATTGTTTAAACGTTCTAATATTAGTGGAAAGTAACATAGTTGATTTTGATTATGTTATGAAGGTATATAACCTAGTCTAAATGAATTGAGCTTGTGTATTCGTTGGCTAGAATTGGAGGTCTCTCTAGTGGTTAAAGCTGTTGGTGGATCAAATCTTAAGAGCTTGTCTAGGGTTGTTCATTAACAAGTGAAATAATCAAAGAGCTTCTCTTGATTATCGAGAAACTAAGGAGAGACAGGTTATTAGAGCTTCTCAATAACCATAACCAATTTAGTGAAAAATAGAAGATTTTATCAATTGCATCTATGATCAATTCTTTGAACCAATTATGAAAGTATACCTTTAGTTGGATATTTTCTTAATATTAATCTCTCTAAATTCTTGGTTGATTTTAAATGCTTTTTCTTTTTGATTTCTTCTCGATTTTAAAACCCCTTTATTTACTTTAATTTTCATTAAAACAAGTCTACCCAATCCCTGTGGATTCAACCTTGTTTATCGTTTTTACAATTTTATATTTCTAAAAGAAAGTATTATTATTTGTTTGGTTTGACACCCACCAAATTTTTGGCGTTGTTACCAGGGATTGGTGTAATTTAGACATATTTTAATGCCCCATACTTCTCATACAGGTGAACTCCAATACGATCTTGAAATCGAGAAGACCGCTCACAGGTTTAGAAAAGAAACTAACTTGCACAACAAACAAGCTTCTTCTTCTTCATTCTCTAAATCAGAATCTGCACTCAACTTGGATGATTCATCTAAAGATTCTGAAATAGAAGGAATAATGGCCAACAAAGAAAGAACTCTAAGATAATTTGCTGCACCAAATGTGAATCAACAACCGCTCTGTATTGACTACCCAACTTTGGAGGTAGCTTTTGAATTAAAATCTGGTTTGATTCATTTGTTGCCTACTTTTCATGGACTTGAAAATGAAGATCCTCATAAGCATTTGAAGGAATTCCATGTGGTATGTTCAAGTATGAGACCACAAGGAGTGACTGAAGAGCAGATCAAATTACGTGCTTTTCCATTCTCGTTAACCGATACATCTAAAGATTGGTTCTTCTATTTACCCCCTGGTTCTGTAACTACTTGGGCCGAGATGGTGAGGATGTTCCTTGATAAATTTTCCCTGCTTCAAGAGCCGCTGACATTTGAAGGGAGATATGAGGAATAAAATAAAAAGATACTGAGACCCTTCACGAATATTGGGAACGATTCAAAGGAATGTGTGCCAGCTGCCCTCAACACGGGATTTCTTAGCAACTTCTCATCCAATATTTCTATGAGGGACTAATACCCATGGAGAGGAAAATGATAGATGCAACCAGTGGAGGTGCCATAGTGAATAAGACTCATCACAATGCTAGAGAATTGATCCCCATCATGGCCGCCAATTCACAACAATTTGGCTTTAGGCAAGACACATCTTCAAGAAGGGTGAATGAGGTAGGTTCTTCCTTCATTGAACATCAATTATCGCATCTCACATCCCTTGCTCAACAACTAGTTATAGGAAAAACGCAACAAGTGAAAGCTTGTGGGATATGTGTTGCGATCGGTAACCCAATTGACATGTGCCCTACACTTCAAGATGATTCTCATGAGTACGCCAATGCAGTTGGAAGATTTTCCGATCCTCCACAAAGGAAATATGATCCATACTTAAATACCTATAATCCAGGATGTAGGGATCATCCTAACCTGAGCTATGGACCAAGACCATCGTAATTCCAATGTTTTCCACTTGAGCAATCTTCTTCAAAGCGAGGTATGTCCCTAGAAGAAATTGTCAAATCACTTGCAACTAATACACAACAATTTTAGCAAGAGACAAGAACAAGCATACACAATTTGGAGAATCAAGTGAGTCAATTGACATCATCCGTGAGTCGGTTAGAATCCCAAGGTAATCTACCTTCAAAAACCATTGTTAATTCAAAGGAAAATGTTAGTGCAATCACGTTGAGAAGTGGGAAGGAGTTGAAGGAACCTAGTCCATTGGCTCATGGGAAAGCCTTAGAGGAAGAAAATGAAAAGGAAGTTGTTGCTCCCCAGACTCAGAAAGACCAACCTAAAGGACTCAAAAGCGAAAAACTGAAGGAATTTGTCATAGATACTCCTTTTCCCTCTAGATTCACTAAGTCCAAGAAAGAAGCAGAAGAGAAAGAAATTCTTGAGACATTTCACAAGATCGAGGTAAATATTTCTTTACTAGATACAATTAAACAAGTACCTCGATATGCTAAAGTTCTTAAAGAATTATGCACTAACAAGAGAAAGCTCAAGGGTAATGAAAAGGTAAGCATGGGGGAGAATGTTTCAGCTATCCTCCAGAAAAAAACTACCCCTCAAGTGCAAAGATCCAGGTATGTTTACTATCCCTTGTAAACTCGGTAATGTTAGGATTGAGAGAGCAATGCTAGATCTAGGAGCCTCAATAAATATCATGCCTCTTTCTATTTACTCAACTCTGAATGTCGATCCTTTGAAAGAAACATGAGTGATTCTTCAACTTGCTGATAGATCTAATGTATATCCTGAGGGAGTTTTAGAGGATGTTTTGGTGCAAGTTAATGAATTGGTTTTTCTTGTAGATTTTTATGTTCTTGATATGTGTAAGCACCAATATTTTATCCCAAAAAAATCATAAAATAAAGTTCATGCACCTAACTAACTTTTGATTTTCCAATCGCATCAGAGGTTGCATTGGCCTACCAAGTGTACTATTTTTGTTGTCATCAAAGTGGTCCACTAAATGATGTTAGGACTTAGCACACACATGGTCTTTGGCCTCTTGTTTCTCCTTCGGGCCCCTGAGTGAGTAGTTTTCACTACTGAGTCAAACTTCCATATTTTAACCACTTCGACATTATTATACCCCACTTTTCATTTCGTGGTCTCAAAATTCAAAGCTTTATTATATTTAAAGCTTTGGTACCTCCAAAATTACAACTTTGGTTGGCGTCGGTTGGATCATTTTGAAAGCTGTGAGCAACATTTATTTCTTTAATCGACCCTACTCACCTAACCAACTTATTGTCCAATTGTTGCCACCACAGCTCCCACTTGCCATTGCCGCCCACTGCTATAACCACATGATAAGATGCACATCAGGAAATCACCAAGAACACCACAAGTTGCTATTTTTATATGTAAATATATTTAAAAATTTGGGTATAAAAACCCGAATGAATGTAAGAATGAGGGGGGAACCATTGGAGCAAGCAGAAAATTCACAAACAGGGGTTTCTCGGTTCTCAACAGCAAAAAAGAATACCGAAAACAACAGGGGTTCTAATCTTTATCTTTCAAAAGCAGTGTAAGAAAAGGGTTTCACTCCCTTCCTTTTTTTTGAATTAAGGAAAGTCAGTGGCAATTTCTTGAGGTATTCGATTTTTTTTTATTTCCATTGTGTTAAGTGTGTGCATGTGTTTAATTATTTATTTTTCGAAGCAAAATATTAAGAAAAGGCAGCACATGATACGAAAAAATATTATTAGTAACCCGTATCCATTCATACATTACCGAATATTTCCCTCCCACAGAAGAAATATCCAAAGTTATCAGTAATTATCCAAGTCCAATAATTAAACATTCATCAGCAGTACCCATTCTAAAAAAAACAGAGCATAGGTTCAAAGGTCCTTTATTTTTCTCTTTTTTAGCAAGCACGTTGTTTAATTTCTCGTAAAAATAGAAAAGAAAGAAATATTTCAGCAAGGTTTCATTTTACGATTTTTAAACGAATTAATATAGAAGGGTCTAATTTCGTACCTTGGGCGTCGTTTTTGTTCTTCATCAGGTTGCTATCACCGGGGTTATGAAGCGAAGAATCAGTTTTGGTCCACGTTAGGGATCCTTTGGAGGGCTTGCATGTAGATTATAAGTGTAATTTTAGATATGGTTTTTTTAAATAAAAAGTGAAAAGTTAGAAGAAGGGTTCGATTTAGCTTACCTCGATGTACCTAGGTCTTCACTGGAGTAAGGAATTCGGTCTTGTTAGGTGGTCGGAGTGCTGGTTTTATCCTTTGGTGGAGTTATAGTCGAAGAAGAAGATAGGGAGAGTGGCGCCGTTGAGAGTGAAACGAAGAAGAGTAGAGAGAATGGAAAGCGGCTGAGTGGCTGAGGGTTCTTCCGCGTGAGGTTAGCCTTGGTTTAATTTAGTTTAGGTTTTATACTAAATGTTTAGGGAAAATTATGTTCTAGTCCCTTAAGTTTTAGCACAATTTATAAAATAGTCACCTATAGGACCATTTTCGAATCTTACCCTTTTTATTTGTCTCAATATTGTAATTTTACATATTTAATTTCTTGCTTTATTGTATGGATTAATTCTTATAATACCCCTCTTATTTTAGTGCATAGTTTAATTTTAGAACTTAAATCGAGTCTTTTATATTTTAATTCAGCCTTTATATTTCAGGCGTTTTTCTTTTAAGTCCAGTACTGAGTTATTTTTGTTTCTATATTTTGAATGTAAATTTCCCCATTTGCATCTCGGCCCATGTTATTTTTTTTTTCATTTTGCATTAATTATGTTTCTGGCTTATATTTTTAGATATTTGTGTTTTGGTCCCCATTGAAATTCCACATTACTCTCCCGATGTTTTTCATAATTAATACTTAAGTTACAATAATTTGTCTTTGGTCATGTTCATTAATTCACATTTTATGTTGTTTTACTGAATGCGTGTTTTATTTTGGTCCCTAATTTTAGTCTAAGTTAATTTATTTTTGTATTTTTAATATTTGGTTTGTTATTTTGAAAATTTTCCATTTCAATCCAATACATGTTTAGGAATTTATTTTTAATTTCAATATTAGTAATTATGTTAATTTATTTTAGTCCATAGATTAGATTGTAAATATTTTAGTCATAATTTAGAGTTTTTTTAGATTAATTCTTTAAATTTAAATTTAGTTTAATCTAGTCCTTTGTGTCTCTATTTACATACTTGTATATCTGTGCAACATCATTTGTATATTATGGTTTAAATGTTTTATGTGGAATAAATGTAAATTATACTCAATTATTTATTCATATATTAACTTGGATTGTTCAAATTTATTCTTTTTTGTTTGTCCCTTAATTATTTAGTTTGCTAATATTTGTTACTTCATGTTGTAATTTGGTATTTAAGTGTCGTATTAACATCTATATTAATCTTAATGTATATATAACATTAATTTAAATTTACTTGATTTTGTTCTAAGTATGTAAAATAGTTTTAATTATATTTATTTAATTAGTTTATCTATCATAAAAGCTTTAATTTTATTTATATTATAAATCGGTTTATTTGTTATTCATTATACTTTCAAAATCTTATGTGTTCAAATGTATATATATTTTTCTATTCTAACTTTTAGCAAATGTATATATATTTTACTATTCTAACTTTTAGCAAACTTTTTATTGGTTTTAACATTTTATGTTCTTAATATGTATGTTAATATGTGTATTTGTTCGAAGTACATGCTATGATTTAAAGGTTTTGTGTGATAATTGTGTTTCTTGTATGAGTTTTGTTTATTTAAAATTATGTATATATGTATGCATATTATGTTACTTTTTAACTTTACATATTCATGTGTATATTTGTTGGTTATTATAAAATGTTTATTTATTAATTAAATTCAAATATATTTATGTGAATGTTTCAATGCATTTTTATTAATTTATTTTATTGCAAATGTAAATATTCATTTTTTAATACGCGACAAAATATTTTTTTATGGATAAAAAATAGATGAAATAACTTTCCTGACAAAAGATTGCTAATGTCGAGATTTCTTTTCATATTAAAGAATTTTCTCTTTTAATTAATAATTCAAAACAAATTAAATTTTAATAAAAGGATTATATTTTAACTTTATAGTTGACTCATAAATTTCTCCATTTATGATAACGTGTAAGTAATACAGTACTAATTTTGGGCGTTGTGGGGGTGCTAATCCTTCCCCACACGTAACCGACTCCCGAACCCGCTTTAATTGAATCTTTGGTAAACGCAGACCAGCTTTTGTCTTAAAAAATGATTTTTCTTAAAATTATTTTTAAAAGACATATTTAGGTATTCAACCTATCTAACCCAAAGGTCGATGGCGACTCTTTTTAATTTTATCCAATTTAATAACAAATCACCCATTTTCCAAAATTAAAGTCGTAACAGTTTTTAAAACAAACAAACTATTGTCCCCGCCTAAGAAAAATGGTTACGACAGCTTGGCGACTCCGCTGGGGACATTTTTTAGAGGGTCAGTCTGTAAGTTGCTTACACATTGTCGTTTGGTAGAAATTATGAGTTTGAGTCTTTAGTTAACTTATGATCATTTTATTGAAGTTTTTAATTGCTTCATTTTATTATTGTCTTACTAACATTTTTATATTTGTTTTCAGATTTGTCCAAAATTTTGTCGAATGGTATCATTTTCATTTTTGAGTCAAAGGGTTGAATGTTCCTCCTCACACACGTCACGAGCATTTGCATAACATAAGCTCTATACCCGAGCTCCGAACCTTTCTAAGTGGGGGCGAAAGCGACGCCTTCGTGAGAATTTATTCTCCGTGCAGGCCTAGCAAGTAACCTTCGGGATTCATATAACTTATGTTTTCGTGAGAATTTATTCTCCGCATAGACATAAGAGAATGTATCCTCTCGAATTGAAATCGATCCGTTTAAGCCTATAATGGGTGAGGATTGAGGGTTTGGCAGCCCAAGGGGGCACTAACATCAAGGACAATTCGAGTACCTTTTTCTGTTAGAAACGGAACCACGCATATAGTGAACCGTAGAACTATCACCTTAGGTATAGATATATCAAACTTATTTCTGTCAGTAGGTACCCAAAATAAGTATACACAAAGGAGGAGTGTTTCTGAACCTTTACATATTTTTCCTTTTTGAATAACAACATGTAAACTAGACATCATGCGGTTAGGATTAATTTCTTGAAAAAATCATTTTCGGTAGATATCATGTTGGGTAGGATTTACTAAAGCATGATTGGGTAGTCAGCATGTGAGGGTAGGTTTTATTTACTTATTATTTTGTTTATAATATGCGTAATAACCCATTTTGGTTTTATGTTTATTTTATTTTGGATTTATTGCATTTGCATCTTCATGCCATCCAAATGTGTTAATTCGCAAGTGATTGACTAATAAGAAGGCTGGTCATAATGAGGCAATATATTCTTAACCATGTAGTCAAAATCGAGAGATCCAAAGTTGTTCAAATGATTCATGAAATTGGACATCCGATGAATGAAGAAATTTGAAACTGATTGAAGAACAATTTATGAAGAAAAACATTCGATGATTGAAGAAATCTTAAACAGATTGAAGACAGATCTGTGAAGAAAGATATCTGATGAATGAAGAAATCTAAAGCTGATTGAAGACTTCCTTTAAACATGTAAAGGTCGAGATGTTGACTCAGAAGATAGATACAGTCATAAAGACATGAAAACCACTTCGCATTGGAGGTAAAAATGGAGATCCCAAGATTCAATTTAAGAACATCCGATGTTATCAAATGTGATAAAATACATCGACAACTGCGGGGTGCAATGTTTGATTCCATGAAGAGTATTGTTCAAAGAAATGAAGAAATGAAGAATCACAATTGTATTTTGACTACATGGTGTAATAAAATCTTGTTGTCTAAATGAAGGTTGTTCTATAGTGGTCACTTTTGGAATTAATACCTTTTGCATTTGCATTCATATTTGCATTCGCATTGCTTTAATTTAAGCATTTTTACATGCATCGATCATGAAAAAATGAGAGTAACTCGTGAAAGATACTGTTACAGAAGCACGGAAAGTAAACTGAAGTTACCCAAGACGTGTTTTTGGAAAGATAGAGAGCAATGAATGAAATATTAGCACGAGTTAGTAAGATTAAGAGAATTCAAGAACAACTCATAAGGACCCAACATGAAATGATTGATGAAGCAAGGAAGTTCCAAGTTGAATTCAGGGAACAAATGTCCAAGTTGATGGGCATGATGGTTACTGTAATATATGGGGAGAAATTATCAGAGGACCCTACTATGCAAAAAAAGATGAAGACTTCGAATGATAATTTGAATGATAGTGGTGCAGCCAATGCGATGGAAGAAAATGATCAAGAACCTGTTAGGGGATATGGTAATTCAAGCCAACTCCAAAAATCAAGTATGATTCCAGAAAATGCTACAGAGATCATATTGGGAAAAGCAGAAGTTAAGGGTGAAACTTCTAATATGAAAGTGGAGCCGGTCTCAAAGAAGAGGGGCATAGAAGAGGACCAAATGATGATCAAGAAAGCTAAGAATGATCAGTCTCTCATGATTAGAGGTTCTAACCCTTTACAATCTTCCATTCAAGACAATCAAGTTCTATCTATAAAGCCATCACCAAATAATCTCTCGTCAGGGGGATTACATGAGAAGAAAATGCTCACAGTCGGATTGGTTACACCGAAATGTATCCAGTCACAGTGGCCCCCGAATGAGAAGTGGACCTATAAGGTGAATCCTTGGATAAACCAGAACAGAACCCCAGATTGTTCATTCAAGGTTCCTAGCAACTTTGAGGATCCTTTAGAGCAAGCAATTCAAATGTGTAAAGTAAAAAAGAAAGGGGTTGTTGCTTCAACAGAGATTAATACAGTCAATTCCTATAAAGAACACAGGGCAAAAGAGTATGAGAAAGGAAATCAAAGCAAAAGGGCTTCCATGAATGTAATACGAGACTGGCCCGTGGGTTTAAGAATGAATGGGGCAGATGTATCCTTGAAGACATCTCAAACACCTATATCAGATTTCCTGAAGGCAAGTGGGGTTTTTGGCAGTTTAGGAGGTATGACAAATGTTACGCCAATTACAGCTGCAATATGTGTTCAGAATCCATCTAAAAAATATCATCACCAAGGAAAATCGCTTCGGATCTAAATTTGGGCCTAATTTCCAATCAGGGAATGAAAAACTGATGAATAACAAGAAATTGAGATTTTACGAAGAAGCTGCTCGGGAGAAAGTAGAAATTTGTGTATTTGAGGGTACATCAAAAGGAGTCATGACAAGTAAAATGGTTGAGAAATGGGGAGCAAATGAAGATAAAGATCCTGGTCCGACCACA